GGAGTTTAGAAACTGTCCAGGCTTGAATTCAGAAAACATATCTCATGTATATTTCAGTCTCACATCATACAGAGATTTATAGACAATAAGCAGTTCAATTTTAGCAGCAGCATTTTAAATGAGTTGCATATATCTAACGGTCTCATTAGGGAGGCCAGTAAGGAGTGCATTTCAGCAGTTCAGTCTCCAAGTAATATGTTTTTCTGAGTGTTGTTTGAATATAAAGTTTCTCAGTTTGTTTTAAAGGCTCCAGAATAAGGATTTTGTTCCAGCTTTGATGTGGCAACTAAAATTGAGATAATCCTCAATGGTTACACTGAGATTCTTGACCTGAATGCAAGGTCAGATTCAAGGTAAGCACTGAGCAGCAGCTTTATCCAGATTCCTTTTTGTGTTTATTACAATATTCTATTATTTTATTATGGTGCAATACATTTTCATAACGGCTTTTTCTTATGCTGCAGCTAATTCCAACAGCTGCTAAACCACCTTCGTTGTTCTGTAATAATAGCAATAAAGCTCTGTTTTATTTATTAGAATGATTTCAATCTGGTCTTTATTTAGTTGGAGGAAATGTTGTTTACAATTATTACAAAGTTAACAGTATTGCCAAAAATCATCAAGGATCATTACAAAATGATGTGAGAAAATGAAAATGAAAAAAGAAAAAAACAACAACACAGTTTAATTAAGAGTAATAAAGAAAATGATAAAGATGATAGAAAGAAGAAAGGATTGGGGAAAAAATTAGGAAAAAACCCCCAGTAAATATGTGTTGTGTATCTGTGTGTGCCATATGTGTGAAAGGCTGTGTGGAGATTATTGTTATATTCTGTGGTATTTTAAATATGTGTCCTTGAGCGTACTGTGCAGCTCAGTTTGCTGTGTTCCTCTCTCCCTGCTTTTCACAGTTGTTTGGGATTAACAAGTCAAGCGTTGAAATATTCCTGTTTCAGGTCATGAAACGAGGTATTGCTTCTCTGTCTCCACCTCACGTTTTGCACAGCGACCACAGACTCTGTCCTATGTTGACAAGACTTCTTGTTTCATCCTTAGTTTGTGGTCACGGAGTCTGTATTTGTTCAGGATCTGTCTCTGCTTTGTATCTCTGACAGCAAAGAGCCCATTTCTGTTCTGCCAATTTATATTCATGGTTGAGGGCCAGATAGCAGTGAGATTTGTTTTGGTTGGATTCAGTGTTCCAGATAAGTATCTTTTGTGAATGTAAAAATTTCATTGACTCTAATTAGTGGTTGGAGAGCAGCGCTGGTCTGAAGTTGATCAGTGTTGGGTGTTATCTGATCAGAGAACCTCAGGCTGACAGAAGGGACTTTTTGTTGGAGGTTCAGCTCCTGGGTTTGTAGTGTTTGAAATCTCTGAAATGTCTTGGAGGCTCAATTTGAGATGTTATCACAATTTAAGTGCTTTTTTAAAATTAATGTTAACCATCAGCGGATCTAATTCTGTGCTGCATGCTTTGGTTGGTGTTTGTCTTTGGATGTTTAATTTGGACCTGCGGCATCCACTTCTATTAAATGTTTGCCCCATTTTGTGTGGTCCAGATGACTGAGTGAAATTTCACCACCATAGAGGCTGATTGGTCAGATTACACCATCATACTCACTACAAGGATTACAGCAAACATCAGATTAGAACAAAATATATGTTCTTCTAGGACTAACCAGCTGTTAACGGAACCAAAAAGTGTATTTTAAACACACCTTCACAAACAACGGCATTCAGATTTTAGATGTACATTTAACTCAAGAACAGGAAAAACAGGCTCTCTCCAAGCAGCAAGTGTACATCAGTGTTGTTGCATAGTATGTATACGACAGGAATCTCATGTTTCAACAGTTTTCTGTAATCTAATGGCGTGTTTCAGGATCATCACAACACTTTGCAAAAACCCTAACAGGGCTATTCAACCAAGGTTCATGTCTTTTATGGTAGCAGTGCCATTTAAAGGTGGAAATCATTCAATATTTGTTTCGGTGTGGCCATTATCTTTCATAATAGAAACTGAAAAAGCTCATTTTTCCACTAGTAATTTAGGCAGAAATCTCCACTTTTCAGTTCAGACATGCAACACAAAAGGACACAAAACGACACAGTCACTTAGTAGGATTTATTAGTTTTTCATTTTATGTATCTTACATACAAATTTTACAATGGTAAACTGTCACTTAAATGACGACCCCTCCCTCCCTCCCTCCCCCAAACCCTAAACTCAAAATGTACAATTGGAGCCCTTTCTCTCAGTCACAGCCCATTTTTATTCAAACCTGGTTGGCAGAGGAGAAAGCTCGAGCATCGACAAACTGCGAAATGAACCATTTAAAACGAGTGTGAAAGTTGAGCTGCCATTCCGGTTAACAAATAGCAGATCTGTTGGTGAGTTTCACACCTTGCTGACAGGTAGGACGGCTGTACAGGACAGGGGGTTGTAACAAGGCCGGCGTCTCGTTTGCCTGGAAGTAAAACTCGACGCGAGCACAGTTTCGAAAAAAGATATACAAAATAATAACACTTTATGACTGACAGTGTTTACAGACTGTCTAAGTACAACAGTATTATGCTCATAGTGGTGAGTGGCATGCTTCTTCCCTCTATGTAGCATCAGATGAGGTTATTCTAACGTCCACCACAGCAAATCCAATACACCTCGTGCACATTATGAATGTACAGTTTCAAGACATCACATTGGCAGGCAGCTACTGAAGAGCAACTGATGATCCTCGAGTAACCAACAGAACACTCCTATTTATAATCAAAGTGCATTTTTAAATTAACTATATAGATTTACAAAAACAAGATGGGAAATGCGTCAGAATATAAAACATTCGATGGACAGATAGGAAAAAGGCGTACAAATTTTGTGATGCAAACCCTGGCGGCGGCTACGTTGAACGAGGTGCCACTTCAGTGACAGGATTTAACAACCTCAGTGATATTAAAGAGCGTTTGCTGAGGCTCAACTGAGAATACATTCATTTGTATGCAACGTGGAAACAATGCAGGGAGGGACGACAGATGTAAAATCGATTATTCAGGATTACCGATGACTTGTTGACACAGTACATCTGAAGCTGCAGACAAAGTTCACTGTTCATTTACAAGTCAGGCTTTAAATTAGTGGTTATGAGGAACCGAGGAGTTTTATGACAGTGGGAGGTTGATGTTCTCGCATTTTTTGAATTGTTTACCATTTTAATTAATGCGACTGCAGCCTAAAAATTTTTTCTATAGCAGGTCAGAATATTTTGGTCCCACTGGCTACTGCTATAGGAAGTGTTGTGTTTTAGCTTTCATGCTTCCAAAAAGAAACTAAGTAAATGTGACATCTTAACTATATAAACGATTGGAAAGAAACTTATGAAAGAGAAAACTTAAAATTTCCATTACATTTAGTAAATACATCATTTTACACAACTTAAAAAGTATGATATGAGCTTTTGAGTCAGTCAGCTTAGGTTGCTGGGCTGGAGTTGGGGATCCGGTTGGGCAAGAATAAGCCATGTGACTGTCAGTGCTTCTCTGGAAACTAAGCAACAACAAGGCCGATGTACAAAATCACCCATCATTAGCTGCGTGTGACCGACACAGGCTAGAAAAGCTGGACACAGATGACAACAGGGTC